GGTGGGGTGGCGTGAAATTAGGATGAGTCATGTTGAGGTGAAAAAATCAAGGTTCGACAGAAAATCTGTAATTTATTCTCTTATGTAACTGGTAAAGAGCAGGAAAAGACTTATCACTAAATGACGCTCCAGCCTTTTGTTATGAGCAGGACACCCTTCCAGGAATCAGAAATCAGGCAGTCTAAAAAATATGAAAAAGCCTCGGTTATCCTTAGTAGATTTGCTACAAAAACCCACCTAGTACGACTTTTACGGCATATCATATATGTAAAGTGGAAAATGTATCCTATTACTTCATTACCTATTCTTAACTATTAGTTCGGTAGGATGACTTGCGTCACACGAGTTTACACTCTAGTAAGGAGAAAGACGTTATGGGAACACTCAAATGTTCTGAAAACGGGGTTTCTGCTGTGCATTTTTCCGATAAGACAGTATCGTATGCACGCTGTTAATCATTCACCTAATTCTAAGTAACGAATATTTACTCGAAAAGTCGTTGGTTTCACTGTTTTCCTAACATACTGGTTTTTTTAAACTTCTAGTTAGGGCTTTGTGTTTTGGTAAACGTTTATCAGCATCAATCAAGACTTTTGAAATAAATCAGACAATTATTAGTTCGGATGGATAGTTTACTGTTGTGCTTTCTGTGATGTAGATGGAGGAAGACTGGAGAGTAATATGAATTCCTTCCTGCTACCATGGCTTTTCCTTTGAAAGCTTGTTAAACCGCTGTTAATATTCTCAAAAAGCTAGCTTGTATCTATACTGGCTGAACACTTTCTGGACAATACATTTTGATTACTAACACTGAAGCTGCCTTGTTAACTCGGAAATCGCAGTTAACCATTCAGATCACTACTGATAAAAATTCATTAGAAAAATACATATTATTGTATGTGACGAATTTACTTATAATATATGTCATTTGATTTTTAAGTATAAAGGTATTGATTATTCAGATTTTATTATTAGTTAAAATAAAAGCTATTTTCTGGTGATCAGAAGTGCCAAATCTGCTGCAGAATCTGCAAGTGCTGCGCTTAATTTTCCATAGGAGAAGTTATCATTGGCAAATGTTTTGTAATTATGAAATATGACGAAATAGCACTTAGTGCCGTTTGAATTTTACAACTGTTTAGTTATTGGTGATCAATATCTAAAAGTACTTTCAAGTGTTCTTTTGTTTTTTCCACTTATTTATTTAGTTATTTATTTAAGCTTGTGTTAAAACCGCTAATATATATATATATATATATATATATTAAAGGATTAATTACAAAGTGACACCATTTAGAGAACCATTGGAAAACTTGGGGGTACTGGACACCTGTTTTGTTCTATACATATATATCTATTGTAGAGGGAGAGAGAAAGATAAAGGAAGATTAACTGAGTGGGTAACGATAACGACAATGATTTCGAGTAGACTACTTGTCTACACTTTCAATGGAGTGTTTTAATAGAGAAGAAGGATTTTCAGTCATTTAAACGAAATAATATCTGTCTACAATTCTGGATAGTTCTAAGATGAAATTATATTCATCTGAACACCAGTCTGCTGAGTTCTTATATTGCAGAAAATCGTTTCCACAACCAGTTGAATGTTTCAATGGAATAAAAGTTATTATCACTGACTACTGTGTGCATTTCTGAGTATGGTATTTACGCGTAAAACGATACAACAGGCAATATTCAACAATCCTTGCAAGGTGAAACAAACAGTCTCAGTGCATGAAAAATAAGTTTATTAGTGATTTTCGCTTGCTTTTTGTGTGGTTTGAAATCTCTCCATACAGCATTTTTTAACATTCATTTACAAGCCTTTACATTCCAGTGCAAATATCCAGCACTTAAAAATTAAAATATTTAATTGAGTTTTTATAATATTTTAATAAATAGTCTCACGTGGTAAATAGCAAATGCCTCAAATGATAAATAACTGGTATTACAGAAACATGAAGGCGGTGTTGACAAACACATCTTGAACAACTGATTGAGAATTTTTGGCAATTACGGATATTTGTGCTAGCATTGTTTGACGTATTTAAAATAAAGTTATGCTCTTATGTGAGACAAAATCATTGATAATTTTGTTCTGAATCAGTGGTATTGAATTTTTACATTAAAAGTATATCAGTGTATGAAGTAAAGTCTATTCCTTGTTTTCTCCGTGTGGCTTTCACAATTGGAAATATTCAACTTCTTAAATGACTATAAACTAGACTGACAAGCGTTAAGTTTTGTAGTTGGAATACTCATACTATGTGAAGAACTTTTATCATAAATGTTCACTAGAGGTGAGCATTCCAACTGGAAAATCTTGGCGGCAGTGATTTAAAAGTAACTACTTTTGACCATTTCCTCACACATATTAATCCACTGTACAATATCTTTTTATATTACGATTGAAATGTAAAAGCATTTGCTGTAAGTTTAAGGTTGTTATTTTTATAAGATACCATGATATCATTTGATGTGAGATTCCTGTTCACAGAGATCTCAATTAGTGAAACTGTCAATGTTATTCATTAGCATTTCCACCTCCTCCCCCCCCCAGTTAGGAAATTTAAACTCCTACTACTAATGTGTATCATGGGTGCGCAATTTTATTTTGATAATGGATGGTGTAGTTATGTGCAGTTCATTACACCTATTAGGAGACGTTTTCATATGTAATCTTGCTATGCTAACCTTAGAAAATGATAGTCTCCAGAGACCATTTCATGTAAACCTTACGTGGAATGGAAAATACGTAAACTGTAATAGTCTTTAGCCAGTTGGCCACAAGTAAGCATTGATCAAAATTCCACTTTATAGAGCGAAAAGAATAGGTGCTACTAAGAAATTTGAAGGAGCAATTTCCGGTTCTTGAGGAGATACTGGAAAATAATGGTTAGTCTCAGAAATTCATTAAAAGTATTGGAGATGTATGGAGAATTTCATCATGAGCTGACATCAGTTAGAGAACCACTGGAAAACCTGGGAGTACTGGACAGCTGGAGATGTGAAGGTTTATATGCGAATCAAATCACTCTTGAGAAGAAGCTTATTTTAATACAACCCGATTTCAAAGCTGTTAATATTGCAGGAATTGTCAACAGAAGATTGAATAGCTCACTAGCCAGTACTTATCCTGCAGCTTAGTTGATTCCCGTCTGTAGGACAACATGCTCATTGGTGTATTCAAAGTTCGACAGATACCTTTCTTATGTTAAGTCTAATTGTGTGAGCAAATTTACATGTATCTGCGTTAGTGGTTACTTTGCGAGAACCGAAAGAAGTGCACACCTTTGATTTTGTGAACATGAGCCAAAAAGCATACTTCCCAAAGAAGCAAACGCTTTCAGTATTCCCGTTGCTAGGTATTTCATCGATACGAGTCATGTGGTGAATACCATAGAATCCTTTAAAACTATCATTAGGCAAAATAGTTCAGTTCTCTTCAAGTTTACTGCGGCAATTGCCACCAAACACTTGAGTCTCGATTTACTGCATTTACTCCTCCTTTCATTTGATTACGTAATCTTCGGCTTTAACCTCTTCCTCTTTCTCCATAACGTCATTCTGCTTGTCTCTGTTTTTATGACTTGAGTTGAATTCTCATATTGTTATACAAATTAATAGTTGTTTATCATCTTTTCCACTTCTTATCTATATTGCTCAACTGCTTGTCCAAAGCACCCAACAGTTTTTTCTTCCGCTTTATTTAAACTTGAATATTCTCTGTATGAGTTACGTAAGTGTAATTTATGAGCACTGCTTAATAGTTTGGGAGTCTTCTCTTAGCTGACATCGGATCACATTTTCCAGTACTTTAAAATTACTTTGTAAGCTTAATAAACGTTTCCTGCTGTTCGCAAGTTATGAAAAGCTGATAAAATCATTAGCGGTCCCATCTTATTCCTCTTAAATCATTGTTTTCCGTGTATTCACACTCATAAATAGGAAAAAGTGTGTGAATTTTCTGAAAAACTACATTCTGTAACCAATCAATCAAATTCCTACAAACCAATACCTGAATACATTCTGTTGGTTGGAGAAGTGTTTCAAGATGGAAGTTTCCAAGATCTACAGGAAATCACTAACTGAAGTTAATGTTTCATAATGTGCAATTTATTTTAGTCCTTAAAAGTAGTATGCCATATAGCAACTATGTAGGAACTATTAGTTTCTGATATCTTTATAAATTCGACGTGCTCTTCACAGTAGTTATTCCCTAGTTAGTTGATCTACATATTTTTAATCAATGAATTATTGTTCTTTTGATTTCTTGAGATCATGATCTGGTTTGAATAGAGTTATTAAAAGATGGAGTTTATCCAGAAATTGTGGTGTATTTGCGCAATATATTTTAAAGTGTGTGGTCAAATTATCTGAAATGTATTGCACAAATACATCATATTTTTCAGATAAACTCCATCTTCTAATAACACTACTCAAATTTATTAAATGAGCTTACTGTTTTCAGTTTTTGACAACTGTATTGACTTTTGACGATTGTCAACAGTCTCTTCTTATTCTTCTTCAAGCAACAGATGAGAATAAAAGTGAATTCCAGATTGCAAGTTATCAATATCCGATGTCGAAGTTGATTTATCCCGAATCAGCAAAATCAACAGTTTACGAGAAGTCACGATTATCAGTTTCGCCTAGAAAATATGGAAATACTAGATAGGAAAGTGTATGGATTTCACACTGATAACAAGATTATCGAAAAGTAGTTTTTTTTATCGAAAGATGACATTCTAATATCGGTTAATTAGAAAGACAAGTCATTCAGTGCGATGAGTAGATGCATACCACTAGTGCTTGCTAGCCATATTGAAGTGATCTAAATATCAGAGGCCATTCCACTGATTCTAGACGGAGCGCTTCAGTGGTGCGTCGGGTTTGACTTAGATCAGACAACCGAATCAGTTCAACCCCCCATTCCAATTTCTAGCTAGCTAGTTGAGTGAAATAGTATTCCCACAAATCAGTTTCTCAATTTGGCCAATGTGAGTAGTATAGAACTACTCATCTTAATCAGGCAGCAGTAAACAGTTGCATGCGATTATGCTTGCCTTCTCATTTACCATTTATTGTATCAAGAAGATCACATATTTTGATCTGAACAATTTATGTTTCAAAAGGAAGTTGCGGTGGAATTTTACCTCGAACTTTGTGAATGCAAATTAATTTTCAAATTGTGAATCTGATTTAAGGCAAGTCAATAACAAGCGAACAATAGACAAATGGTACTATCTCTTATAATGAATACATTCATCAGCTCATCCAGTCCCGTAAAAAATAAAGATTTACTTCATAAATATTAAAGTACTAAACTAAATGAACTCTTCATTAAATTACTGATCTCAGGACCTTGTAAGCATTTCTGCTGCGGACGATTTCCAATTTAAAATTGTCTAACAAACAGTAAATCACAAAGTAAACTGACGATTCAATGCTCATATATATATGTATATGGATATGGGTTCGTAAAAAATGTTCATGTAAATTGGATACAGATATTTTGTATGTATTAAATTGTTTTGTTTAGGTATGGTATTATCATGGACCCGTTTTCATGGATTCGATTCCTTTTACAAGCTCAACAGAAATGCGCTGTAATTGGACTGCTTGGTTGTAAGTTCAATGATGAGAAAATAGCTTTCGCTTCATTTTATTTTACTCTGCCTTAACTGTCTATGCTGGACACACAAGATCTTCGATAATTAACTGGCTAATTATGCCCACTTAAATTCCTGACAACAGTAGTCTAACTATTTCGTCAAGATGTAGAAGTCGAAGATTTTAAGTTACACAGTTATAATTTACTGCAATTTTAGACGAATTCCTCTATAAAAGAAAAGCGTTCAGCGAACAGTTACTCTTTCAGGCGATATCATTCTCAAGTTGTACAATCGCATATGTAAAGTAAATTTTTTTTTTAAAACAAAATGATTATTTCGAAAGATTTGTCATTAGAATTGTGAATTTTAGACCATAAATTACGTAATATAGAAAGCTTTGATAGGTTAGAAACTAACATAAATAAGATTAAATAAGCGAGTTGGGTGACGTAATCCAATTGACCGGGTTGAGTAGAGCCCAACTAAAATTAAGTTTGAGTAGAAGTCAAGCTAACAACAGTGGTAATAATGGGTAAAGATTTAATAATAAGTGTGGGGAAAAACATTACAAAATTAAGAAGCATACAAGCAGGAAAAAGACGAAACAAAATTTACATATTGGGTTTTACGAAAGGCCAGGTTCACTGTGGATTTAATGACTGAAAAACTCCTTTTGTATGCAGAGTTCAGGTTTTATTATGTGAATCGCCATTGCTTCGGCACTTTGAGGAAGTTTAGTTCGTACTCTTTTGGCAAGATTTCCAAATATTCCATAGATGGCTTCGAAGTTACTTTGTGGGTTTGTTTGGTATCGCGATTCAATCAGCTGTTCCAGAACAGCTCTTCGGAAGGGCCTTTTTTCTCCTTTGTAAAACCATGAGAGTAGGTGTTCAGTGATATGTTTGAATAGCAGACAACGGGTTCGGTGGGATAAAAAATGTCCCTCCGAAGATCTATTCTGGAACAGCTGGTGGAATCGCGATACCAAGCAAACCCACAAAGTAACTTCGAAGCCATCTTTAGAATACGTGGAAGATTGCAATTACAATAAAATGTGTGTACGAAAATCAGCTTTAGAAAGCTGATGAATAGTAAGGCCTACTGTCCTTCACCCTTTACATGCAGAGGAAAGACTACAGTCTAAAAATTACTACAGTTTCGTCTTAAGACTAGTAGCTATTTAATATCATTATATGCCTATTGCTGAAGACTACTGAGCTAATACGATAAAAATGTTCAATAAATATTGATTTTCAGCAGTTCATACGCATTTACAAATTTGTGCAGTTATATATCGATTGTGATGACGTTGCTGGTGAATTAAATACATCTATTGATTATGATCTGTGGGATTGAAATAGTTCATCCCATCCCCTAGTGTATACTTTTGCAAACAATTTCAAATCTGTGTGATTTCTGTAATTTTTTCAGTTTAAAAAGCTAATAAGATCAAATATTCGATGAATGCCATCATGCAAAGTGTTGACTGAGCTTTGTTCATCTCTTGGGTAATCAGTCTTCCTTTAATATATAGTTTTCAATAACAAAGTATATTTGTAGTAATTACTTGTAGCGGATGTGTCATTTCGTTTATCCAGCTCGATTTCTACTCAGTACAACTAACTTCCAAAACGCTTCGATGTAGAAAGATCAAGTATATCTATCATTTTTGTTTGGATGATAGACACAGTTTCGAATTCGCAATTATCTAAGCAGTGTTATGCTAACCAGAGCGTACTTTAATTAGTAATGTTAAATGTTTGGAGAAAATCAGTAGGAAGCCCAGGACCATTGCAGCAATTCTTCTGACATGGTGATCACACTCAAAAGTTAGCTGATAAAACTTGTTACGAATAACTAGATAACATTACACACAATGTCTTTTAAGCATTATAAACTCAGGTTTTGTGAAATATTGGAGCGAATTACCCAAGGCAGCTTTATCCATTATTTCAATGAAATGAAAATGAAAACATTTTTAACCTTTGGTTTGACAGCTGAATCTTGACTAGTATGCACCATTGTAATATTTGTGTGTCCATAAGTTTCATGTATCGTTACAACATAAGAGTTCAGAGAATGCAGTCTAACAAATCCTGCAATTATGAGGACATACGCATAAATATTAGAACTAAGGTTTGAATGAAAAAGACATCAATCAGTTTGGAAGGACTACACCAAAGTAATCATCACCACATTTGAACATTTCTCGATAACTTGGAAGTGAATTCATCTAATTGCACTATTCGGTTAGATCTTAGAATAGCTCTTGTACTTATATATATATATATATGTCTGCACAACTCACACAGAAATACAGTTTGAATTCTTGCATCACCAAATGTCTGAACTAAAAGCTGTGGATAGTGATACAAAGTCTAACACACTCTATGTCGTAGGACAGTTCTGCACTTTTATAGCTATACACTAAAGGGTTTTACCAACAAGCGTAGGTTGCCACTGAAAAAATTCAAAACAACAGTAAAATCTGAAAAATAAATAACAACAGATTTTGCAGAATAAAATGGTACCATCATTTATTTCGGTGGCTTCTCATCATCTGCTTGAACCCCAAAGACATTATCAAGTATATCTGCAGAAGTAATTTTAACATACATGCATAGAGTTCATTTTTAAACAAAAATCAAACAACCAATATATGCAAACAGTAATAATATATATAATAATGAACACTTTATCCCAAACAATAGTGATCATACTAAATGGAAACTTTCGGCATTACTTGATCAAATGAAAGAGAGAGTGAAATATCCAGTAAACAGAGCGAGGAAAGACTGATAAACGCTTCTTTCTGAACGCATAAATCGGGTTTCAAGCGCTTGATGGAAATTGCTTCGACAAACTTAAACAGAATTGAACTCTTTTGTCTATTGGTAATTTTTAACGATCTTGTGACGTCCAACTCATGTCAGGAGAACGTTTGAAATATGTTAATGATGGGCCGAGATGAAAACATTTATGAGTTTTCAGTGCCTGTATGTGATTTTTTCTGGTTCCAAGTAGATAAGTCAAGGGACGGTGTAGCAACACTATTGAAAAGCAAAATGAATAAGCACTCTCAAGAGCCTCCTAAGAAGGAACTAACTAACTTCATCCAAGGGAGCAGAAGTCGTTTTATCTGATTTTCAGAAAGCGAAGGTATTTCGGGTTGTTGACATATGATTTGTCACCGTTTTTCAATGTAGGCTTGCTCTTATGTGATGAGCAAATTCTATATAGCACTAAGAGTTTGTCTGAAACTTTCAAATGATCCAATCTGTGAGAAGATTGAAATAAATCTATCAGACTGTGGACTGTCAACTTTCTTCTGACTGGTCCCAGTTTTTATGCTAACCATGTTAAAAATCAATCATGATATTCTGGTACACGCTGTTATCCGCTGACTCCGTAAAATAGTTTTTGACTCTCCTGCCTTAAATCTCATTGTATACCACAGGATCACTAGCACTTTATAAAACACAATAATATACTTTGACTTTTAGAGTTAAATGTTAGAAGGAGTCAGTTTGCAAGGATTCCTGTCAGCAAATGTCTAACGCCAATTTGAATGAAACACAACTGAAATATAAAACCTAGTATCCTCTGCAAAAACAGCTTCAAGCTTTTGCTCAGCTGAAATTCTGGAATGTATTATTTCTGTAAGACAAGTTAACATCTAGCATTATGGATGACGTGAAAATACACAGCATGGCAGAAATTTATTTTAATCATTTACACTATTGAAATTAGGACGTTTTCTAGTTTGTTAAAAAGTATTCGGGAATATTTTATACACCTTCAGGTTGTTTCATACGAAATTCGCTGTTACTAACACTTGCAGGTATGTTCAACACTGATTGATAAAACTGAAAATGATGCGTCACATTTCGTTTACTCAAAGAATTCAACTTTTTTTCCTGAGTATGACATTTATTGAAAGTCTCCTGTTTGACGAATAAATGTGGTCATACTTTACTCAAGAGGGCAGTAATTAAGATCGTGAATGGTAGAATAGGATATCAAACAAGCGTTCAAACTCTAGATAAATAGCAGGAAGCATTTGGTGTCAATTTTTTAAAATAACGTCTGAGTATAATGAATTTCACTGGTTCTTTATTGAAGTTATTTTCAATGGCTTTCTTACTCTTATTATTTCAACACTCCCCACCCTCTAAAGAAAGAAAATAAATAATTTCATGCAGGGATAGAATTTAATCACTGCTGTTAAATATGATTCCATATTAGATAAGTTTATTTGATAAAACATAGTGACATTGTTAATAAGTGGATATTATTTCTAGTACAATCTACTGCTCATAATCATCTCAGTAAATTTAAATGTCCTCCTAATTTGGTTTATTGTAAACTTACTCCCCCCAGTTTTTTAATGGAATATTTCATATGCCAGGGAGAAGTGTTGCGCCATTTCGACTGCACTTGTTAATTCGTTCAACAGAAGTTCGGTGATTAACCTCTCTCTCTGCACCAGACTACATTACTTCTTTTAAACCAACCTAACCGTATGTGTTTGCGATTGCACAACTGTGAAAATGAATTCGCCGAAAAGAAACTCTTCGCTGAACTTCTAGTCTTCTCTGTATTAATTTTAGAATGGGACTTTTTCATGAATTATATTATTGTGCCTAATTAAGTGAATTGTATTTCTTGAACGATAAATTCTATCTGCGGATGAGTTGGTTGGTTTAAATGCCATCCTAATTCCAGCCTTATTAAGAAACCTGTGCATGGCTTCTGATGTTTCTTTATTACGTGGCAGTACTATTCAGTCTTTTAATTCTTTTTAATTATATTATTTGAATGTTTACTGTACTGCTTGCGTTTTCTCAGTAGGTCTTGATGAATAATGGTGGGAAGTTAATAAAAGTATTTTCCTTATTCGTTTGATGTCATCGTTTAAGTTTCTTGAATTTCTCGTCGGGCTCCTAGCTAGAATGCATAAACGCGTCACTAAACCTGCTTTTGAGGGGGATGATTCGGAGTTTAATTATCCATTGGAATGATGCTAGTAGTCAACCCCTTATCCTATTTTGGTTGTACTTTGCAGTCCAGCACACATTTCATTTTCCAACTCGACAGTTAATTAAACCCCATCTACTGCTCAGTTTATGTGTGTGAAAAATTAAAGATATGTTCAGATTCCATCACAGTGAATGTCTCATTCACATACCAACATTATAACGTAGGAGGTGGATTAAGCGTCCAAGAGCTTCAGGATTTTGTGGTGTTCCACTCTCAAACAGAGTCTACTGACTTTTCCCACTGTTTTCAACTATATGTTGCAACTGGAACGCGCATAAGAGGGTGTTTAGGAGTGATCGGAATTTTCTGTCCATAGAATTTTAAAATTACGCTAATTTGTGATTAGTGTTTCTGTCTCTGGAAGTAATGTGAGTTTATTGACTAGTCTCTGGAAAAGAAGATCATAGGTATATAATGTTAGGATAGAATTTGTTCTGAAAGCATCAACTGGTTATCAACACTGTATCACATAAACGTATCTGATGTGGAATAAATCTCTTCCCTCTATTTTCAACGCAGTTTTAATAGCTATGACAGTAAATCACTTCATCCTTGTGGTTACATTCAACCAGTGATTACAAGACTATTCACTATCCACTCTTACCAATAATTAGTTATTTCAAAGTTGGCATTAGCAGGTGTGCAATAACAAGTGTTAATTCCGCACACACTATTTGTTGTCCGAAGATTAATTTTTACATATTCACTTTATTTTATTCTCAGTATACTACAACAAACATTTCATACTATAGAAACAAAATGAATTCAACTGCATACCTATCTAGTGTTTTGGTACATAAAGCGTCACAAGGTGATCATCATACTAATCGAAACAACAGTAGTAAATTAAGTTTTAATGAGATAAAAGACCGATTTCGTTGCGAGTTTTGGATAGGATCCTTCTAGGTTTCATACATTTGAATAGTAAAGTAACACCCTTTACTTAGTTAGTTGTTTGTATTCTGGTGACTAACGCTGCTTATTTACACCACATGTTTTGCGATGGCATGTTGTATAAAACCTGCGGTTAGTATACCCTTGAAAACTGTCGTATCAGATACACCATCATATATTATTATTATCATACCGAATGATATAAAGTTAAATGTGTTAAATCACAGCACCAAAAAGTTAGCTTTATCATATCTAATCATCACACACTTCATACTATCAACAAATGAATGAATTGTGCATTGGATTTTTTCTCTCAGTTTAAAGGCTTTAATTATAGATATAAATAAAATTGTATGTTTTAATTTTCAGGTACTAATGTTTTTATTATATTCGCTTGGTTACTCGAGCGTGCAATTGTTCGGGGATTAGTTGGTGGTAAATTTGCTATGGCACTCATTTGGTGGAATTTACTTTGCCTACTTGCTTTTCCGACAATCATGATACTATCAATAGATTTCAATCCTCGTAAGTTGTACATATATACGTATATATTCTGATGATGTAGACAAATAAGGGATAAGCTAGGTATAATTTATGTATGCAATACTGAGTAAAAGTATATCAAACATGCAGTTGCTTGTATGGCTGTTTTCTAAATTACAATTCATGAATAGAATTTTCACTGAATAGTTTCGTCCCCCACGTAGGCATGACTCAGCTTTCTGATTTCTTAGCCAAACAAGAACTTATGATGTATAGTGGCTTTTAACATGGTTCAAAAGCTTACCACTATAACTCCGAATTAGCTTTAAGTAAATGTATTCGCGGCTTCGCCTAGTTGCCAAAGAAAGGAATCTAGCAATGCTATCTGAACTAAGATTTAAGACCTATCACATGATAATTATAACATAAAATTCTACATTTTTATCTCACCTTATAAATGAGACTGAAATACTTTTTCTTAAAATTTGAATTCAAATAACGTGATTGCCTTTATAAAACTTTAACAATGGAGTCTTACCATAGTCTGATCCATATTTAATGCCCTTTATTTTCTTTGTTATGATAACTTAGTGTTTAGTGCACCTGTACTAGGAGTATACACAATAGTGCTTTTGAAACTTTATTCATATGCCGATGTGAATCGATGGTGTCGTCAATCAACTGGGAACAATGAACAAGAAATAGATATCGCTTTAAAAAATTTAGGGAAACCAGATTTCACCAAGGATGATAGCTTCTTTAACACCAACACCATCACCGCTATCTCTAAAAGTAACCACATTAGTTCTTTTGCAAATACTGTTTCTTCAAGCAAACTAAAACTTTCTGAGACTGTTACAACCAGTATTCATTCTGATAATGTGGAAACTATCTCTCAAACAGTTCCCGGTATTAGTAATTCAGAAGACGAATCTACTGCAGAAGATCAACCAGTTAAAAGGAAATGTTCTCCTGTATTAGAGGATGTAAGCGTTACTATACAAACAGAAGATGCATCTATTGAACATGATTCATCAAATGAAATAACAAATGACTTTAAAAGTGTTGAGTTACAAAATGAACATATCTCTGGAGCTGCAGAGCAGTTTGTCGTCAACCGAAAAATTAAAACTGCAAATTTTTCTGCTGATTCTAATTATGTATCAACCAAGCTGAAGTCCTCCGAGTACCTTAATAACTTGGAAGCGAAGCATAAAAGTCGAGTCAGAAAATGTAAGTGACTTTTTTGACTTTAGTCATGGCCATATTTGGTCGTCGTTTGAACTTTATTTCCTTTGGATCTGTTTTTCTTCATAAAAAATGCTGCTGTAGCTCTATAGTGTCAAACAGTATGATATTTCTTAACGAAAGGTATTATTTGACTGTGTTCCCCTACCCATGCGTTACATATTTATCCTTTTTAATTAAAACTTAACACTGATTCAGGTTGGTTTTGTTTTACGCTAACTAACCACCCTGTGTCTACATACAACACGTTAGCATCGTTTTATTTTATTGAAAAGAGATATGGAAATACTGCTTTGCTGCGCCATAAATTGCTCTATTTTGTCAGAGAGAAAACTCGATTTGATCTCTAGAAAACATCTGAATCAAGTCATGGCGTACTTCAAATTCGTGATCTTCATTTTTCTTCTCACCTTATGCTATCTAGTCACAAACCAGAAATACTTAAACTTAAACAAAATATCGCTCATTAGCAGTATCCACTGAGGACTCTTCATTTCATCATCTGACGCACCAAAACTGATGAAGACTATTAATCACTTAAAGGTATTGCTAAACTAGTTTATGTAAATTTTAGCATAAAGTGGAGTAAACTACCGATTTACTGAATCTAAACACCTTGTCTTGTTGTTCAAATTGCCAGTGTTTAAGGTGATGATGGCGAAGATAGCCTTCTGGTTTGCCTTTCTCACTATACAGTTATTAACTATATAATATCTTGTACAGTTTACGAGTATCATCTATACTTAATTCCCTGTGAAGTCATACAAACCAAAGGGTTTTTAGCTAACGGTTACTCTTTTTAGCTTGAGCATGATAACGCTCAAAAGATTAAATCTTCACAAAACGCTTTTTGTCTACATTATCTATCCATTCCAGTTCACTACACTAACACATATTATAAATTCAGCAATTTATGCGTATCGTGCGACCAGAAAATATTTAAATCATAGATGGAGCACTGAAAATACCCTTGATATTTAAGTAATCAAAGGTCAGCACAACTGTACTCGACACATATTTTTCATTTGGCTACAATATAATCAAGACTTGAATTGAATGATGAGATTCACTATGCTACTACAAAAACATGATGAGTGTACCTAAATTTGACATTCAGGATTAAACTTTGTGTTCAACAGATAGTAAAACGATCTTCCGCTGGTTTGCAGTTGTTTTCATCTCATATACCTACTGTATAGCATTAATCTATTTTATGACTGCTTACAGATAGTGAAGCCTATTTAAATCAACCGTATCATTGCAGTCTTAAAGTTTTTAAACTATAACAGTACTAAAGTGTGCACAAATATTAGGCACATTAAACCTAATGTAATAAGTAGATGAATTAACTTGTTTAAGAGCCTGAAGCGAATAATTTAGGTAATTTTAGTGATAAAGAAATTACGAAGTTTATTAGGCTTTGATAAAAAGAATAGAGTATAATTCCATAAAAGAATAATTTTGTTTGAAATAACAAGCTCTGACTCATTATTTAGTTACTGAAGCCGGTTTGAGTACAAATGTTTATTCAGAATTATGTGAGGTCAGATACATAGGCCATATGAGTAGTATGAGGTTAATTAGATTAGCAAAACACATACACCTGACAAAATATAGATACATAACGCTGGCGAGATAAGAAATCTAGAAAATAGGTCAGGTACCGCACTGCATACACTTGCACACAAATATACAATAGGATGGCACAAGATGACTGTCCTAAAATCTAATACAACAAGTGTAAGGAGAAACCGATAACACAGTCTTTATCAGTCAAATCATTTGGGAATACATGCAGTAGGATTAATTCAACACCTGTCTCAGTCAATTGGAAAATTCTACTTCCCATGCGACAAATGGTAAAGTAGAAAGAGAACCCATTTTCAAAGTTGTGTAGCTATAACTGATATGATCATGAACAGTATATTGTGTTCGTAACGTCATCCGGTAAGTTTTATGGAATTACATAGTTCCACAGTGGTCAAGTTTTACACCTATATCAATTTGCTCAGAATTGTATCAGAGAACTTACATAAATTTCCGATTTTGTTCATATTTTTCTATTATTCCATGTCCTTTGATTTTATGAGTAGTAATATTTTTCATACTCTGCGTTATTCATACCACACGTGTCTGACAAAGATTTAATGAACAGTGACTTAGTGGTTAACCTTCACTTACCTAAATTATTTTTCAGAAATGTGGATTTTTCTTTCTCAGTTTCCTGACTGTGCTTTAGTGTGTACGTTAAACTGTTACGGTTTACTTGACTCACTGATATATATATCATTGGGGTCTTACACTAAATCAATTTTCCTGAAGATTCCTTACGGTGATTTGGTGAGCAGCAGTTCAACTTCTTATCCCACAGCACAACACTGAGATCTTGTGAATGATGTTTCCCGGGTCTGGATACCAATTAATAATGTCTATTTTCAAATAATTGGGTTTATTTACTAATTTATAAAAAATGTAGTAGTCATATTTTGTAACCAGAGATTTCATTAGACATTTGCATCTATATTTGAGCTATTTTATTTCTTAGAATTAAAATTTATAACTTATGGAACAATATCACAGTTGAAATCAAAGCAATCACCAGAGCAACTGTGCTAGGAACTGATATGGCAGTAGATACTGTATTTTCGTAGTTTCTTTTCGCTAAACCGAAATAATCAAAGTTTTAATAAATAGTGGGAAATAAACTGATGCAAAGGCCAATATTCCGTTCATTCTCCTTATATAACTGAGGACAATTAAGTCGATTTATTGTGTTGTAGATACATGTAAGATTAGGCATAATAAGTAGGAATCAGTACTTATTTAATAGCATATCTACTTAGGTATAACCTTAGATTTGAGATAACGTCATACCTGTGTGTTGCTAAGGCTAAAGACGTTGTACGTGTGATTTTAATTATATGAAATGGTAAATCTTTAACTGAAAACAGTTCGTGATTCACATAATAATATGCTAAAATAAATCAGTAGCTATTCATTTAGTTCAGTGGTAGTATATATGACCTTAGCGCGGTAAGGTAAAAGCTCAGTTTAAAAAAAGGCAGCATTTACTGTAAGTTATGCATTGATCTACTACTTGAGTATCAGGTATCAAGTGGTATCTTTTTTTCTTCCCCGGCTATTTCAATACAGCGGACCCTTGGAAAACTCCTCACTAGTTAGTAACTAATCTCCTAAGAATTTAATTCCATGAAATGAAAAATGTGGTATTTTTCTATATCTTTCTGAAAAATTTATACTGAACTGTTTTTGCCGTATGAGTAGTGTTTATGCTGTGTTTACTTATTTTAGAAAAAAAGAAAGATGGTTGGGAGAAATTATGAAACTGCTTATATTTACAGTGAGAATAAGGTCATAAATAAATCAATAATTTGCTAACAACTGACCTAGTTTACCACACTGGGTTTTTTATTCACAGAATAAATAAAACTTTTTGAAAATTAGAAGTATAGTTTTATCTTTTGGATAGCGTACATTACTTTTCCTACAGTCAGTATTACCCAATATATTTCTCGAAGTATGACTACCTTTCCTTTTGTCGGTGTGGAAAGGTAAAGAACTGTATTCCTTATTTTGTTTATTCATCCTCTTTCCTATAATTTCTTTTACCTCTGTTAGTCCTGTCGATTGGTTTAATTATTTCGAGGTCTGTAGAATCAACTGCATCGATGTGCATTTTAAGTGCAATTAATCATTCCAAAATGCTAGTTATGAAAGTAGTCCTTGTAGTTGAATTCTTCAGTCTTTTTAAGCGCAAAATAACTACATAGTACCATGGATTTTGACAGCACTATGACATCCACTCAGATGCATCTTATTATGGTGCTACAGATGCTCAAAATAAGTAACTATAAAAGAATAGTTGTATTTTCTCCAAGAACGTGTCTGATCATTTTCGTTTTAGGAAAACACATTCTAAGTGGATAACCTCTAAAGAATAAAATCACCTTAATCCTCCTCCGAAATAAACTGATCAGTAAAATTTTTTAATCATTGGCGCTACTTCAAAAAGTTATTAGGATGAAGAAAGTTGCATGTATTCTATCGAGATTTAAAACGCAGAAAAAACACGTTATAATCTGTTGACTTAGAGATTTTTACGCCTTTTTAAGACGGTTTTTAGTTATGATAAGTATTTCCATTATCTGCCTGCCATCACGTCAACTTGGTGACTCAGCAAAAGGAAAGATTGTGCAGTTGACAAAAATCAGGAAAAAATATAAAGATAATGAGAGAGCAGTCACACTTTTTTCATGTATGTAGGTATAATTTTGGGTGTTCAATGTAAGTTGTTTTCTCAAAGCATACTGATCCCGTTATTTCTTGCACACTTGATTTCCAAAAGGACTTAGAGATGTCAGTGATACATCTGATATTTATGAAGTGTCTAGTAGTTTCTCTAACATATATTATATATAATCTACTCAGAATATGACTTGGAATTCTCCCTTGCAGTCATTCATATAGGTATGTGTTTACAATTGTATTAAAATTTGTCAACTTGAGTGTGAGTAACATCAAAGTGTGATGATGAATTTTGTTTCAGAAAAACTTATTTTAGTGCTATTTCATTTCTAGTCAATTCTAACGAATATTGTCTATTGTCTATTGCATACTTGATAAGTAAATGACAATAGACCATTAGTCGTTTTGATTGATTGATGTATCTCTCAGGATACTCATTTTTTAGGGATTTTCCAAAAAATTCCTGCTCTTCTTCTAGCTTATTAGGCAAACATAGTGTTCCAGTTCTACTGTGAAATGTTCTGACCAATCCATAATGACATTTGATAGGATAAAAGCTATTGCATCCAAAGTGCTGTCCAGATAATGGGTCTTCATTTCTAAATATTTGGTAAGATCTTTTTTAAAAAGCCCGACATCGATAATTTCTAATCACCATCAGTTTTTAAACCAATCCTTAAGTGAGAGGAGAGATATGTGATCAGACTAAGTAGCATTCCCATGAAAGCTGCTATCTCAAGACTAATAGCTGAAGCAGGTGTATGGAAATTCGTTTATACTACTGGTACTACTGCCATGGAAGATATGAATTTAATATGTGGATGACATTTTTTGAATAATGAATGGAAGTGAAATAGAAAGCCCACAGAAATAAAGTGTCCATGACCTTAAATTCAACAAAGGACGTGAACAGGCAGACGTATCTTATTCCTGAATAGCAAATGGAATTCTACTACTACAAGTCTGTAGTAATCCACTACTTCTTATAAAGTGGCACCATAACTTCATTGAAATAAGACACCTACAAGAATGTTTAAGTGCGTGGAACTTACTTATAAGGTCTCAAAAGCTCTCAGGAGTTGTTCAAGTAGCGGTAAGGACTCAAAATTAAATCTGTGGAATCAGCTGTGAAGCTGTAGCTGTTACTATGCTGTACAGTTAAGCAACTATGCTACCTGATGTATAGAGATACAAAAATTGATAGTAAATAAGATAATATGAAATCGCTCACGCAGCCAAAGGTTGATTCATTTCCCCATAGATTTGAGTAAGATAACATTGAAATTATAAGATGCATTATTTTGAAAGCAGAAGAGAAAAATCTGAAAGTATGGTAGTCCGTTGGGCAGATAAATGAAAATAAAATAATATTATGAAACTAGTGGGATTGAAACACGATAAAACTAGGAATAGGAAAATGAAGGCTTATCGCAAGAAATGATATGAGCAAATGTACTTACATTGTAAAAGGAAGTGAAAATTCAAAACGTAATTTCATGGATGATGAGTATCACTGAATTCCAAGATGTGCATCTCATTCTATTTGGGACTCATCATCTGGACATAACTGCACCCCTAGTAAGTGATGGTTTCCTCATTGAAACTCAAACCCAACATCCACCGTTTCAAACGTAAAAGCGTTATTCACCAGACCATTTGGATCACTCCTTCTGTAAATTAAAATAACAAATGAAAATCGACTTTTGAATAAAGCAAAAACAACAAATGTACCAGGATAATCTGAGCTCATTTTGTTTTATTATTCCATGGATTCTTCTCAGCTGGTTACAGCCTGAACACTACCAAAATTATAAATGAAACTTAACATCTGAACATACTTTTCTACAATGATAAGGAGTAATTGATTAGAACTAAGAGTGACATCGGTGTGAATGATGTAAGTTGGCAAATAGTTAAGAGTGAAAAGGATCGACTATTTATCGGAGAATTGTATGATTAAGTTTGGGAACAAAAGGGTGGAGTGGGACGGATGTTTTTTGGCTAGAAATAATGATTATCTAGAAAGAGTATGAAAAGCGATGGGTTACGTAACCACAGAGAAACACGTTTTTGTGAAATAGACGGAATAGGTGGGGTGGCGTGAAATTAGGATGAGTCATGTTGAGGTGAAAAAAATCAAGATTTCTATAAAGGATAGAAGATGGAAATTGCATAGTTTTTCAATTTAATCAGGAAGGAAAATTCAAACTAACTTCAAAATGAAATTCGAAAATGATTTAAGAGTGCTTTACTTTTAGAAGGAAATAAAATTAAAATAAATTGTGGTATTGGCAGTGGTAATAATAGTAGTAATAATAACAGAGAACTATAGTGGATTTAGAAAAGCGACATCAATTTCAGATGAGATGTGGTTGTTTTACTGCAATGGAAACGTTAATAGTCAAGTTGACGCCTATACGTATACTCCACTAGAAGTGGAAATACAAATGAGAATAAATAAATGATCAGATCTGAGGACTAAGTAGTAAAAGGCGAAAGTGCTAGTCAGTTATCCCGTAGACATGTTGCTTAGTAATTGTAGTCTTCATAAAACTAATCAAATACTTCCTAGGGAAAGTGTACTGAAGAAAGCTCTTTCAATATAAACCACCAAAGGTGTTACAGCTAACAAAATTTTATAACATTCACAATCTGAGATGCAGGTGCTCACCAATGAATCGAAAATCTTCATAGGTCAGATCAGATTATAACAGTCATTCCGATAATAGCGTCCCACCATGGCAGATCAACAATGAATGGCCAACAAACAGCGTGAAACAAGAGACTTTGACATTTTGTTGTTATTAAAATTTATTCCTTAGGTTCCTACAAGAATATAGAGCTTCAAAAATACATCGCTGCCTTGGTGTTTCCTCTGTAGTCGTTTTCTGGATGGTTTCACTATTGTCCGTATGATTTCATTTCCAACTATGAATTATTCCTCTATCATTATGGGCTTCCACCAAGTGTTGAAGTTTATGTCTAAAACCACCTTCAAAGTTTTGCATAAAAAAGCTGTGAAGTCTGCACATGCATTCATCTATTCGATACAGTTGTTGCACAGTTGCATTTGATAACCATGAGTTATTTCTAGTTAATACTCCCGACTCCATAAAAATACTTAAAAACTTTTGATCACTATTCGACTGGTCATTGTTCATTTCACTTGTCATATAATGTTCACTAGTTTCTGTGTGAAACAAATGCATAGAACTCTGACACTGGCTGACAACTGAAACACGGTTAGATGTCAGTTTTGATAACTGTATTGATACAGGATTCTTTAAATTTTGTTTTAAACATGATAACAACACAGTTTTCTTGCTATTCTGTTTATCATCGATACTCTGTTGCTTATTTTCACGAATAGTGATTAGTAATTAAAATAAAATATAGTACACAAGACTAAAGTAAAACACACTCATTCACTGTATTAAATAAACCAAGCAGAGATTCTTTGAGAATTTCTGAGTTCCCACTTTTGTTTGTTTGTAAAATGACTGGATATTTTAATAAATGAAAGGATTCGAAGATTGCTCATTGACTTTTTATTCTCTGATTAATAAATTTCTTATTAAACTTCAAAATTTCAGTCCACAGATCTAATGATATCTTTTATAAGTTGGTATCAAATTGAGTACATGGAAGCGTGCATAAATGCCCACTCTGATTTCCATTCGTCTTTACGTCTTTTTATAGTGCGACCATCCCGATTCAGCGTTTGTGAGGTTCCAGATAACGGTAATATAAATTCAGATCCAGTAGAATTGGAAGTCAACACTTTGGTACATGATGAAACATGCATTAAGTTCAGTCGTAGTCTATACGTTACTTATCCAAATAATTTGACTCTGACGGATATATACTACTTCATGTTTGCTCCAACGTTGTGCTATGAATTAAATTTTCCCCGTACGCTGACAATTAGAAAGCAGTTTTTATTCAAACGTGTTTTTGAACTGGTAAGTTAACTCTAATCATATATGTATTTGTTGGATACTGACATTATTAAACCAATAAAATGAGCTGAAAAGAAAATGCTTCTACGAGAAAAGGTTGAGCGTATTCCATACTAGTTTAATGCATGTTATGTTGGGAACTTTCATACATAAATAATAAGTTGGTGATGTTTCAAGCAGGAAATACAGTTCATAATCAAAAATTCAAATATCATCTCAAATAACATACCTATCTCTTATTTTAATGCTTGAAAAGTATCCCAGTTCTTGTGGATTTGTGTTCCATCATGTGACCTGCAGGTGTTACCTGCAGACTCAATAAACTAAAATAGTAATGAATTTCTCTCTGGATCAAGCTGTAATTTTCCTCAGAGTTGTTATGCCGTTTAATCCAAACTGACCTGTATATCTTAAATATGACATTTCTGGTATATTTTTTATTGGTCAGGTACATATTGTGAAAAGTGATTGAATTTTTGTATCGAACGATAATTTAAGGTTGAATAAAAGAGACTCTTCAACTTACTTATTTCCGGTGTCTTATGTAGTGATTTAGGCAGGTGATAAAGACTATTTATTTGTTACAAGACCTCCAAACAGTTAAATGCGGCTAAAATGAGGTGTCATGGTGAACACATTTACCCCAAGATAAAAATGTAAATGACAAAAGTACTCGAATTATTGTAACATTTCAGTTATCAATTCATTCAGAGGTTTAACTTTTGAGTTCTTATAACTCTTCTCACTGCATTTTTTGTGATAAAATATAGCGATGACAACTTGTCACATCTATGGATTTAACGATAATTTAAATGTCACTGGTTAATAACAACTGTTAAATCATATTTTAATATTAATGTGAGTGATTTTCAGCTAAATTTACTCATACATTTTCCTCCTTCATATTTTTTTGAACAGATATTCATTCCACAACTTATACTCTGTATGATTCAACAATGGATTTTACCCACCCTATCGAACAGTTTCACACCATTTGCTGAATCTAGATTCAGTTTAATTGTTGAGCGTTGTTTAAAGCTGGCTATACCAAATCATCTTATCTGGTTAATGTTCTTTTACCTTTTTTTTCACTCACTGCTGAATGTGATTGGAGAGATTCTATATTTTGGAGACCGATTTTTTTACAGTGACTGGTGGTAAGTTATAACTTCATTTTTAATGTACTATTATTAGTTTATAGTCTACGATGAATTTGACATCATAGAAGATGTTTGCTGATTGTATGTGACTTTTGGCTAAAGATTTTACCGTTTACATAACTATCTGTAAAAGTGTCTTTATTATTGGTTAATAATCTGTTTATCATTGATGAATGACCAACTGTTTTCAGATTTATTTGCACTCAAAACTAATTTCACGTCTGTTAATAGGAACGCAGAATCTATACCGGAATTTTGGTCAAAATGGAATATTCCTGTACATCGTTTTGCCAGACGGTAAGTTATTCAAATTTTGTCAGATTCAAGTAGTTTTTCTAAACGCTTTTGTCTGATAGATTATAATAATAAATTATATCGTAGTAAATTTTGGAAGAATATTTTTGAGGACTGAGCAGTTATAGATTTTGATAAGCATGTAGCACAGTGAGATAAGGAAATTGAGTATTTAAAGGTGGACTAGTTGCAATGCCATTTGGCTTGGAGGTTTGAATAAGGGCACTTTGTCTTCTCAGCAAACATCTAATATAGTGTCGTATTATTAAATAACAGTTATTCACTTATAAACTAACCGAATCCCCTGCATATAATTTAAATAGGGTTAAGATCATTTCAGAATATTAATAGAGGAGTAATACAACGCTCTCTGCCTACTATCACCGGTGATATTCATAATTGTGGTGGACTGGACTATGCGTTAGACTGTGCATGGGAAGTGAGAAGACACGAATACGTTGGGCCAGTAAGAAGACTCTATAACATCTGGATTTTGCAGATGACATCTGTTCAGTGTCAGATGAACTCGAAGACTTGCAGATGAAAATCAACAAACTGGCAGTAAAGGCAGGTGACGAAGACAGGACTTCAGGTGAACATAGACAAGACGGAGGTGGTGAAGATAACCAACCAACAACAAAAACAAACAGCACCAATCACCATCAATGGGAGAGATTCGACAGAGGTTATTTCCTTCACTTATCCGGCTATGAAGCACGGTTTCAACCACAGACTGGCGGGACAGATGAAGATGTCAAAGTCAGAATTAGGAAAGAAAGATGCGCCTTCATCAACCTGAAACCATTTTGCAAATCTTCTGCACTCAGCAGCATAAAGAACCAGATCCTGATTTCCAACACAAATGTGAAGTCAGTCAGTCACTTCTTCTATACGGGTCAGAAACTTGCACTATGTGTTACGAAAACGATTTCCAACAGGTTGCAGACTTTTCTCTACAGCTGCCCTCTTCGCTGGCTCCATACTGAAGATCAGAAGGCCAGGGAGAATTAGTAACAAGAAACTCTGGAGATGAACAAAACAACGAAGAGCCGATTGCTTAACAAATATGTAAGAGAAAATGGAGATGGATCGCACACACGTTGAGGAGGCCGCCAAATGACAACGCATGCCAGATCATTACTTGAGGGGAATCCCGGTGGGAAGCGACAAGTGGGTCGTCGGTACAAGGGTGACATGGAAGAGATAGTGTGGTGAGGAGGAGCTGAGAGATTATGGTCAGTCGTGGACGGAGCTGAAGAGGACAGCAGAAAACAGAAGAAAGTGATGTGTTGTTGAAGCCCTGTGCTCCATTCAGAACCCAGGGGAGTAATAATAATATAACAACAAGGATTCAGCTGTGTCATCATTCTCAAAGTTTGAAAGACAGCGAACAAAATTTAATTGTCTATCTGCATTTCTGCGCACAACTTCTGTTAACAGATAAGGCCTTTGTTACGTATAAGTATGTTAACGTATGAAGATATTTACCTGATCAAACTGAAACGTAATAATTGAAAATATTCAGTTACAAAGTTCTCATAATATGAACAAACTGTCTTATCACAACACGCACTTGATTTTTATTTCATCGAAGAAAATTCAACCAATGTGGTGCACCTTCTAGGTAATGATAACTTTTAACTTCTTTTAGCTGCTTCATCCATTAACTGTTTATCTGTAGCAGGGTTCCATTTAAGAAATAAATTCTTCTGTGACTTAGACAATGACATAAAGAAGCCAATAATTCGTTTAATATATTTCCTTTATTACCTCATAGATGTTGAGAATATGATACTGAATGTCGACTGTAATTAAGTAATATTAGGGACTAACATACCTCACGTCAGTGATAATCCTTCTGAAATTTCTCATTCATTTCTAAAAAAATCTGAGTTCATTAGTATTAAAAAGCTTTGGACAACCATTTATCATCCTCTTATGGTTTCAGTATCCTACTATTTCTGGGATGAAATCATTGGTGAAACGGAACCATTCTCACTATTTAAAAAATCCCTGATTCTAATGTGATATTTATTAAAGAAGCTGATATCACTTATAGAATCTATATCAACTAGTGAGATATGTCTGGGCCCTATTGTAAGATGTCTTATCAAATGTCTCATCCTAGCTGCACAAAATCCCAACCCCAACACCTCACAGGAATACAGCGACTTCCTGTTTTTAGAATTCCTGCCATTTCATGGTATGGAGTTGCCATCATCCATTTATTCGAAATATGAGTAAATTCCTTATCTTTTCTGATAGGTGATTTGCTGTCTGGAAGAGTCAGCAATATTTGAAAACGGGAATTTAAATTATGCTCTTGACAGTTATCATTTCTGAAGACCAGCCTACCAATCAGAATGAGTGAAAATAATAATATCAATCGTATAACTTAACAGGCAAGATAGTGGAATGCAAAACAAGTGTGTTCCCATGCATCACTAAGATGAATCATTCAGCAAAGTGAATTAAATATTGCCTCTTTAGTTAACAAAGAAACCTGTTGTATTCAAGTGTTGATGCGTCGGTGGCATAGTGGTTAGGACTCTTGCCGACCATGCACATGGTCCGGGGTTCGATCACCTACCGACGCACACCCGATATCTATGGTCGGCCTGTAAATTCGGACTACCGATATCCATGCTGAAAATTCCATACTTGTACTGAAAATACGGTGTGGAATCAAGCTGTAATCAAAAATAATAAAAATAAAAAAATAAAATAATAAATAATGAAATGAAGACTACTATCTGTGTTCATCTATATGGTTGGAATTCACGGATCAGCATCAGTTAGACAGATCATTGAAAACCAGAGAACACTAGGTAGCCGTTTCATCCCATCTTGATAGCTTTCAGAGGTACGCATCCACGACCCCACCAGGGGTCTAACCCTGGACTTTCAGGTTATGGGACCAAGCTCGCTAACCAGTCATCCACTTACGCAGAAATTCAGTGGCCTGCGAATTCTAACTTCTTCCTATTATCTACATATCAATTCCAAGCTCACTGATGGCTACTAGGTGGATGTACTGAAGCGGTAGTCAGAAGTCGTGATCAGTGGGGTCCACCATGTTAAGGCAAAATGGGTGCATATCAAAGGCACTGGTGAGGGTAGCTCACACGGAACAAATCGAAGCAGTTAGAGCTTGTGGGTCACTGAATTCTGCCCCTAGTGGCTGAATGGTCCACGAACTTGACGGCGTAATCTGAAGGTGGCGGGTTTGATCTGTGATGATGTATTGGGTGGGCACTAATGCAGAGTCCGAAATAGGATGTAACAGCTGTTCAGTACTCCTTGGTTTTCAATGATCTCTCTACTCGAATTTGGTTCATGACGAAATCTAACAGATGAAACTAAATTTATTCCAGTTCCCGCATTTCTCATAATCCATATTGTTAACGTTATAACCCGTAGTCCCAACTCAGTCGCGTATGAAGCACTAAAAAGTTTAGTTAAATACTGAAGATCAGTGGCAAGAAGCATCTTTCACTATTGCAGTTTGTTACATTTGGAAGATATTGAACTAATTATGCGCTTTAGTAGTGTGACTTGACAAACACTTTTGTTTTCCCAAATATAAGGTCTTTTTCAGGGATGGGAAGATTTCACGATAATAATTATTAATGGCTATCCTGTTTTTTATTCATGGGGTTAACTTTCCAGTGTGCCATATGATAAACTTTTCTTTCAATAGTTTTTTTTTATTTTTGCAATTACAGACACATATACATTCCTCTGTTAAAGATGGGTCTCAGCCGATTCCATGCTAGCCTTGTAGTTTTCTTCGTTAGTGCATTTTTCCATGAGATACTTGTATCAATTCCATTGAAGATGCCAAGATTTTGGGCCTTTCTTGGTATGCTAGGTCAAGTGCCGTATGCTTACATTGTCTCACGTTTATTCTCGAATGGTGGTCAAGCTGGTAATTTAGCTGTATGGCTAGCATTGATCATTGGCCAACCAATGGCTATTTTAGCTTACTTCCATGATTACTTCATTACACATTACAATGTCAGCAGCCTGTGAACAAGAAATGAGTTAGCAAACTCTTCAGTCAATTTCAACCCAATGACTATTTTTTAAAATGATCAAATATTTATATGCACGAAGTGATTTACTGGTAAACGTTTTTTAGACAAGCAACTAACATAAAAATTTTTTTAGATTAGGTAAGCTTTTATCACTTTGATGTACCTACTGAAATCATGGAGCTGATTGTTCGGATCTACTAACCTGAGTTTCTTTCTCTGTCTCCCTCACACACTCACACAGTTAGCCTCTGTATCTTTCCACCTGTATTTCTTTCTCATCTATTTCCTGTTATATTGTTGTTCACACTCATCCAGATCATTTGCACTTCTGTTATTCATTTGTACAAAATAGAAGCTGATACTGTGGAATTCACCTCTGATTTTTTTGCAGACTTACACAACTCTGCATCATTATCCTCATCAAATGAGTTTTCTACCTTTATAATTAATATTATTTTTCTCTGTACTTTTAAGACCAGTTCTTTTTCTATTAACTGAATAACAATTATTAATTATACTTACTGTGCGTATCCATGTATATGCGTATGTACGAATAAGTGAGTTGGTTACGACCATGTACAAGTCTTTTGTACTCTGTTTTTCAAGCTGTAATAATGAGTATGTATATTTACTTATATGCGCACCGCTACAGACATGTATAGAATAAAAGTTTCATATAACGTTACGAAAGCATTATTTTTTTTATTAATAGCAATCCTAAAGCTCTCTCAGCTGGTAGTAAGCTCGATAACAAGGGAAGGTTAAGTGTGAGGCTAGTAACATCCCCCACCGAAGAAATTATACAACTGCTAGGCTTGAAGTCCTATACTGCAGTCGGAACGTTAAGTTATGAATATATATATATATGTATATATATATATTCATATATATATATACATAATGGCTAAATGATGTATTCTGTGATTACTCAGGTGGAAATGCAAATTTGACCAGCGGCAGCATTTGAAACCTAGCTGCTAACCATGTCTACTCATTAATGTGCTTATTCTTCATCTTCAGGTAAACTGTCCCTAACATCAGATATAATTGATAACATTGTGAAAAAAATAAATTATAAATAAGTAAATAAACTTTTGTTGTGATCTAAAATTGTTAACCTTGTCTAGAGTTTATCCTTACGCATCACTATGAGGATTTTTAAATGGGGCTATTGATGTGTCACCAGATTGTATCAAAAAGAATGAAATATAACTTTGCATGAGCTGTGCGTCTCGGCATAACTAAAAACGTATAGATCACAAGCTGTGTATAATTCGCATGGGTTGTAGTGCAACTGATAATCAGTGTTAAAAAAGTTAAAACAATATCCTATAACTAACTAATCCACTTTTTTATTTGGTTTATATTTGAAAATCACTTAAAATGCATCTCAAAGCCTGAGCAGCATGAGGTAAGAATACGGAATATTTTAACCGAGAGAATTATAGGTTCCATCATTGGTCTACAAAGACGGTACTTTTTAGCATTTCATATAAACGAACTGGTTAACATGTTTTAGATTTCGGTGCTCCAATTAATGCAGTATATGTGAATATATTCCAAGTAGGGGAATTTATTCAACTGATAAACTTTCTTATATACGGCAATGCAAAGACCTCATATTGATCGACAAATTCTTACCAAAATCATTTTCATTTCAACAAACAATGCCTATAACATAATCTACAATTATAGAACAAAAAGAAATGAAAGGTCTAACTGTTAAAAGAGAAATAAAACACTGACCTTGAACTAGTTATAAGGCTGTGATTTTCATTGGATTCTTTTGTTGTTACAAGTACAGAATGAATGAAAGTTAACCTTTTTTCATGATTCAATAAAATTCTTTGAAGCATAAAATTATTTCCTCCATTTGCCTAGAAATGCGTATATATAATGGTTATCACTTTTTATCTTCGTTGTGGAACAGCGGCTCAACAGTAGAATGGTCGCCAAACATGCATGTGGTCCAGGTTCCGATTCCCGGCCGGTGCACATCTTTACTCACCCTTTATTCAGTTGTAAGACAGACAGAGAGTTATAGTTGGGCTTGGGGCTAGCAGCCGCACCCCATAAAAGACACGAATGCTAATGAAACATCAAAGCTCTAGCTTGAAGTGGTATGTTCCACTCGGAACGCGAAGAAATAAAATAATAAATCGATCTTTGTTATCGAGAAATTTAGACAACAGAACATCGAGAATAAGTCGAAGTGCAGAAATCTGTTAGTTAACATTATTCACTGTTCTGCTAAATATAATGGATATAAACTCCTCTCTTAATAAACCATATGAACAAACTGCTTATCCTACTCACTTATGAAAACCTACCAATGCCACATATCATCCCTCATATAATACTATGACCAAGTCTGCTGAATTAGTCAATCTCATTGTTCTTAGTGCAAGCTAAAACTGGTGTTTTCAAAAATCTAACGGCAACTTAATAATGATAATGTTTGCTAGTATAATGCAGATCTATACAAGAATGCGTAAAACGGACCTTCAATTATTAGGAATCATCCTGATTAAATGGCTCAACCAGTTAAATGTCCTTAATAATTTGAATGTCGTGACTCTTTATAATCTTTTCGTACCGGTTTGGCACTCCTCATCAGAGTAACCCCGTGTTTATACAAGGAATTGAACCCAGGATCTTTAGTTTACGAGAATAAGACATGGACTTAACATCCTGAGTACCGAAGAGTCCAAGACTTGGGCGGAACAACCATTTATTGCTTTCTAGTTTTGAATGATTTTCTAACTGATATTGGTTTGTTGCGACATGCATCCCTGAAATTTTAATCTTTATCAGTATATTTCCTTTAAGCATGGAAATGTTAAGTGGTGACACTCTAACATATATAAAATGTAGATAATGCTGTGTGTTGGATTTTTCATAATAGCTAGGAAAATTGGAAAGTGAATTGAGCAAAAGTGTACCTCAAAATTCTTCACAAATCTTGTGACTGTATCACTATGTATCGCTCTTCATATATATATATATATATATATATATATATATATATATACTAAGAATGTAGGGCTACACCACTATGTGGAGTTTTTCTCTAAAATTCTGGTATTTAGGTGTTATGCCGACAAACCAGTTTTCCTATATGTGTAACAGTTTTAACTTTTTCCAGCCACTAAGCCATAAGACGATACAACAGTGATAATTGTATTCCTATGTTAATTTCCAACTCAGTCACACTGGGAAAATATCACATGAAAAACTATTACCAAGACATAATATGAGTAACAATCTGACAGTTCCAAAAATGTTTTATTTCGGAGCTAGCCATTGCTACGCCTTTGCTACAACATGCGTGATTACCAAACTATGGAACATACAGGAAAGGAAAGCAACACAGCAGCATGCCAAACGACTAGGATGTTCGACTAAATGCCATCAGCTTTATCAGTTCAACAGAATGATAAAGGCTGTTACCAATCGTAGTTCAAAGACTAAAAATTCAAATCAGTAAACCTGAGTCGCAGAACACGGCTAGTGGTGAACGAAATCTAAAGGACTTTTCCCACCCAGAATTTAATTTCGATACCTCTAGCTTATGACTAATCATTTCATTTCCAGGAACTTAGATGTACAGATTATTCAAAGGTCTTTACGGTATCCCAAAACGCCTCACAGAATCCTGTGATTGAAGTCTTACCAATAATCAAATCAAAAATCTGGGTACGCTACGAGAACAACACATTCGTCATAACTAGAAGAGATTGTTTGGAAAGCACCCCTATTAGGATCAACGTTTTCGATGACTTTTGACTATTTAAAAATACCCATAATAAATTATAAAATAAAGAATTTTCTGATGTGACGGCAGGACCTGAAGTAGTTATCGATCACTACATTCATTATAACATTGACCAAAGTACCAAAAAACAAAATTAAACAAGACTAATACCAAAATAAGCTGCATCAACTGTTAAATCACTACACTAACCAACATGAACGTCTCATTTGGCTTCGTATCCAGCATCATAAGTTCCCAGAAAAAAAAAATAGCATACGTCCCTTCATATCAATGCATGTGAATTCATACGGATACCAGTTGGGCAATAAAAACTGGCAAATCTTAGATGCAAGAATGTCAAGCCTGTCCAAAAAGACGGTTATTTCACTTATGTGCAATTCTGGAAGCTCATTTCGTTCTGCAGTTAGCATTCAAGGTGACGTCTAGAAAGACATCATAGAATGATTATTATTATTATTATTAATGAAACCTACCAGCTCAAATATCACAACATCAAAAAGTCAATATCCATTAACGTGGGGAACTAATGCAGTGATTATTATTATTAATTACTGACGCAGAACTTATCAGTAAACATAAACAGAATTTATTTTGTCACTAATTGACTAGTTAATCGTGAAAACCCATGAATTTTTAAGTATTACTTAAAACTGTGTTGTTGTTCTGATTTCTACATTCTTGTTATATTGAATTATGAGGTTAATTCAAAAACTCTTTCAACACTTTCAGAAAGAAGATGTAAAACCGAATACCTGTAAGTTTGTAGCTCCCTTAGGAGTAAAACATTTTCAAAACCTTTAGGGCAAAGACCAAAACATTCAAAGATCTATGCAACTGGAATCTCAAAGTCTGCAGTGCAAAGAAAGGCGTAATTGCTATCTTCATAGTGCCTCTTTAACTTCTAAACAGATACTAATCTGATATCATTTTTATAATATATTGTTATCATATTATAAGATTGTCAAAGAAGAGTTTGCCTATCCAAATAACACCTACCATTTCTGATTATTCATTTTAATAATGAATCCTTTCGTCTCATTAAATCGCTTCCAAACCATTTCAGAGAGATTTTCAAATACTATTCCGGGAATTTATAGCAACATTACATCTGCTGTATTCTAACCAGTAGTAGTATAACGACAGAAAGCAAGAGCCAGGAAACAGGTGGTTTATTGAGAAAATCAAGAGATGTTTACAGATTTTTATGTGCATTATTGTCAGCGGATAAGCAACGTCTTCGGATTGGTTGTTTTCTTGCTGAAGGTTATTCTGTGCTACTTGTAACCGTTTCTCAGAAAGTTGAGCCATATTTCTGTGAATCCTTATCTGCACACGTTAAGTTTGCTGTGATAGGTTGGTGAGTTCCTCTAGGCTAAGCTTTGTTATCATTTTACTTATGACCCTGATTCTGGACGTAACATTGACATAAATTTCTGTCTACAAATTTGGCTTGCAGCCAGCTCTCACAACAGTTGTAGATAATTTCCCAAAGTTATTAGTCTTCGGTTTTCATTGTCCAATACTATATATTGATCTTCCTTATTAAAGTCCACTTGTCAGACTGAACGTGTTGCGTGGGGCATCTGCGCTACTTGGCACCATACAGTATTACGTCACACTGTCTGTGCATGCAGTCATTGTTGCTCCATATATCTGGTTCTGAGATATGTTTGATATTTAAGACGGTCAGTTTACTATAAATCGCTCAAAATAATCCCAGCGTGTTTGGAAAATCAAAACAAAAATTTTTTGGAAGTTCCTCTATGTAAGCTACGGCTTTTTCATCAGAACTGCTTGGATTTCATCAACCGTCAAAATATATAGTCAAATACTTCATAAGCTAGAGTGAACTTGTTTGGAGGTCACTGGACGGTAGGTGTTTGCAACAAATGAAATAATATAATTAGTCA